GGTGGACTTGAACTCGTCCTCAATGGCGGGCCGGGGCGCGGGTCTTATACGAGTATCAAAGGCCGATGATGGTGATCCCCCGCCTCGGTTCAGTGGGGCAACGGATGAGAAACCGGCAAGTTGACGACCATGGCCGACAACGGCTGGGCCGGCACCCAGCGTGTGCTTCAGCCGGGCTATTCCCCCTGCTCTCCCACCTGCAGGCCCGACGCCGCGCAGGCAGCGTGCCATGGGCACCGGCAAATGTCTGAAGGGCATGGTGAAGCGCGGCAATAGGCAATGAGGGAGGGGAGGGCGGGGTATCAAATCACAGTGGGTGTTACTTGAGAGTGTTATCAACCACCTCAACAGGCTTGGCGAGTTGGGGGCACGTTGGCTCCAGCTCCGCTCGATGGAGGGTGTGATGGCGATGACGTGCCTTGACTGAAGAAGGTTGACACAAGAAAGGACAAGAAAGATATCTTTTGGATTTGATGAGATGACTGAAGTCAAATTAAGTTCACGTTCCTCGTGACGGGCGACAAAGACAACTTATAGCTCCGACTAGGATGATTTCACAGACCGGCCACCGGCCTAAGCTTATTCCCCAGGTTGGATAGGGAGCATCGCGCCCTGCGGCAGGCCAACCCCGCAATCGGTTCAGGGACGGGTTTCATAGGGCGCTTGGGATCGGCTCATTGCAGGTGGTGGCCGTCGCCCGCAGACGGAGGGAGACAAGACAGATAAGCAGCGGGTGTCGTGCAAGATCAATCGTGGCTGCAGAGACGAGCTTTAAGCAACTCAGGGTTGCCATCTTGTTCTGACGGCGTCCCGTCTGTTGCCCGCAAGACGCTTTCATCTTTCATCACTCAGCAGTCCCCAAAACGACTCCATGTCAACACAACAAACACCAATGGCTCCCTTTCGCTCCCTGTCAGTCCACTGGGCCGAGAATTACCGCCCACGACACGTCGGTCTCATCCGGCCCCCGCAACAAAGCGCGACCGGGCGTTCCTGGGGATGCCAGCTGATGCGTTGAGGTCGTGCGGGGTGCAGGCGGTGTTATCTAGCTCTTAGCTAAGTCAGCCCACCCCATAACCAAACACCCCCTATAACCGAACGCGTCAAAACACCACTTTTTCCCCTCTTCACTACCACAACTACTTTACGCTAGAACGCATTTACTTACTATAACACTTAAAATTAATTCTTTTAAAAATACTAATATACTTAGTATAGCTAAATATACTAAAAAAGATATTTTAAATACTCTACGTAATATTTAGAATAAAATAAGCGTTTAGAAAGCTATATATATCTTAAAAATACCCTTATTAACTCTCTATAGCTATCTTTATAATTTTAAAACTTAGTAAGAAAGTTATACTACTTTCTAGAAGTTAATACCTACTTAAAAGAGTTACTTAGTTAACTAAGCTTTTATATAGAGTATTTTTAGTTTTATATTTACTTATTAGTAGTTTAAAGATCTAGTTTAATAAATACTAACTTATATTAGTAATAATTACTTTTTTAGTAAGAATTAAATTAATAGCTTATTATATTATAATTTCTCTCTAAAAACCCTCTAAAATAAAACTATTAAATCTAAGCGTATTACTATTATTATAACTAAGAAGATATAAGTTTATTTTAATTTATATAACTTATTTAAGATTAAATATATCTTATTCTAGTTTTATTATAATATAGATAAAACTAATTTAATAGAGAGTAAAGAAATTAATAGCTTTATTTTAAGTTCCTCTTATATAAAGAAGATATATATTAAAACTTTAAACTTATATATATAGATTATTATATTAAAATATATTTTAGTTTTTAGTAAATAACTTTATTTATTAGTTATATTTAATAGTAAGAGTATTTAGTAAAGTTAGTTCTTTATAAAACTTAAGAAGTATAATTATTAGTATTTTATTATAACTAATAATAAGTAGATAACTAATAAAGTAGTTATTAATTAAGTTAAAAAAGTATTTAATCCCTAAATAAAGTTTATAAATAGAGATAAGGAATTATAATATCTTTTAATCCTAAATAAATATAAAAGTTATATTATAGTTAACTTTATATAAGAATATTATAATTAGTTAATTTATTTAGTTTTTTTACTTACTTACTCTAGCTATATTACTTAACCTCTTAACTTATCTATATTTAAACCCCTTAAGTTAGCTTATTAATAAAGAGTTAATAACTTTATAACTTTTATAAACGTTATACTTCTAAAAAAATATAACTTCTTTATTTATTATACTTTTACTTAAGTTAATAAGTTATTTAATATTAATATTTAAGCTAACTAGTATACTATTAGCTTCTACTTTCTTAACTATATAAAGGTCTTATTTAGTTAGTAACTATTTTTAAATATAATAAAAGAGATTACTAAAAGCTTATTTATTAAAAAAAAGCTCTTAAAAATAAGTTATATATACCTATAAAGTTAAGAGATCTATATAATATTAAGTTAATATAATTAATACTTTATACTATTTCTTAATCCTTTTAGTAATATAGTTAATAATTACTTTTTATTATAAGGAAAAACTTAGATCTTTAATATAATATTATTACTATAAAAGAGTATAAAATAGCTAAACTTTAAGCTAAATTAGAGGTTTATATACTATATAAATAGAAACTAATTAAGCTTAATCTTAATAAGTAGTTTATTAATATCTAAGTTATTAAAGATACCTAAGTTATAGGATTAATATTAACTTTTAAAAGCATAAAAATAGTAAAAGTATAAAAAATTAAATTTAAATCGTTCTAATATACTTTTTTACTAGTTAGATAGTAATAAAACTATATTTTACTAAAACTATATTACTAGTACCTCTTCAGCTAAGCTGTTCGGTTATAGGGGGTGTTCAGTTATAGAGTGGGCTGACTTAATGAGATCCGCTCGGTCCCTGAGCTTCATCGCAAGACCCCGACAGACGCCGCACCGCAGCACACTATTATCAAGAGGTATGATGCTAATTCGAGAGTTTGCTGACTACTTTCTGGTGGATATCTGAAGACGCGGCGGACTACCAAGACGATCTCAATCCATCGGGCCAGATCCACCCAACCAATGTCCCCACAGCGAAGAGCCCCAAGCAAATGATTACTGTCCCGAAGATGCCTCCGCCAGCCTGAACCGGCTGCGCCTTGCGCTTCCCCCTCGAAGCCGCCGCCGTCGTCGTCGCTGTCGCCCTCACGCTCGTCCGCATCGCATACGTCGGCCCGGCGGTCGGTGTGCCGTACAACGTCGTCTCTTGCACATCCGCCGTCTGGTATCCCCACCCCGACGTGCTGATCGCGCTCGGCGTGCTCGTCGTCACGGCCGTCGTCGCGCCCGACCAATCGTGCCCGTCGAACGCTTTATACCAATCCCACGGATTATCGTGGTCGTTCCAATCCGCGCGGATGCCAGGGCACTCGTTGAAGCAGTCGTAGAGCGCGGCGGCGGTGCCGGCTCGCTTGTTGCCTTTGCCGTCGGAGAACTTAAGCCCGCAGGTGCGGAAGCAGGCATACGACGAGCAGGGCAGGGAGGACCACGGCTTGACGTAGCCGCCGTAGTACTCCCACGTCGTCCACGCGTCGATGTCCGTGTCTTTGAGGGTGAAGGCGTTGGACGTGTTGACGCCGTAGAAGTTTGTCACGGGTCGCGAGCCGTTGAACTCTGCAATCATGATCTGGTACTTTTCGCTCGGCCCCAGATCTTTTGGGATCGTGATCTTGGGGTTCGTGGTTCCCACGGGGATGAAGTCGCTGAGGTAGCCTGCGAACAGCAAATGTTAGCTGGTAAGGATGGTAGGTGTACGAACGCTCGCGACTCACAGAATTGCATCCACTCGTTGTTGTAGAGGTACAGCTGGTAATGCTCGTAGAGCGCATCGTGACCACACCCGACCTGCTCGTCCGCGGGGTTCCTGCACACGGCGACAGGGTCGTTCCACACGGAGTCAGGGGCCGTCTCGTAGACGAAGGGCTGCTTCCAGGAGTCGAAGCCGATTGTAATCTGAGTCTCGACGCCCGCGGATATCGTAGAGGGGACGGTGACGTTGGCTGCGCTGGCCACGCCGGCAATGGCGAGGATCGCGAGGGCGAGCATTTTTCTCGCGGTAACGAAGGACGTGCGATCGCTGGGTTTCTAACGAATGAATGGCGACGATTGAGGTCTAGGGACGACGAAGCGAGGGGACGAGCGACATTCGCTCTCTTGGCGGGACGCGAAAAGGAGAAGCCATCACGAGAAGGATTCGGCGGTGGCGACTTGGGGGATGGGAAAGTTGTCTGTTTTGGAGGATCGGCATCCTGGTTCTTTGCGGTTTAGCTCGCCCGCTAAAGGGTGCTGCCTGCAGAGCTAAGATAAGATCTCAGGGGTGTGCTGCGGATGAGAACTTCGTTGGTCGTGATTTGCAGCCGATTTTGACCTCGACAAGATGTGTAATTCGAAGTTGGTGAGTGGTGAGTTGTCGCATGAAGCTTTTACTTGCGGGTGAGTGTAAATCTTCGGATGACGGCGTCGGTGCCGGTTTCCGAACACAGCGCGTCTTTTAGCTGTGGAAGATGGGGGAAGCTTTAGGCGCTCGTTCGTCTGAGCCGATGCAACCTGCTCAAACTTCACGCTCCAAGGTGTTGTTGAGCATGGTATTGAGAGCGCTTGATGATATTGGCTGAGGTATGATAGTGAAGCTCGCACCTCCTCAACCCCGCGCTCGCATCGGAGTGCCGCATCAAACATGCTCCAGGTAAGAGCTCGAGTCCGCCGTGCGGGCAACCCGGGCGCGGACGTGTGACCGTTTCCTAACCCCAAGGGTTCGGATGATGGCGTACTTAAAGCATGTCTCCTCTTTCTCGTCATGATGATCTTGTGTGCTACTTCCAATTATTTCCCACTGCTTCCAGAACAGTCCCCAGAAGAAAAAGCTCCCAGCAAACGGCCGAAGGCAAGAGCAAAACATCGCTTCATAATTTCCAGCACAAAAGAGAAAGCCAACACGATGATCTCCCCCTTCTCCCCGCTCCCAAACTACATCCTCGGCACCGGGCTGACCTTCGTCGGGCTCCTCGGCTTCGTCAAGCCGCTCGCCGTTTATGACGCCTTCGGCATCGCGCGGCCGCTGTCCCCCGACCAGCCGGCGGAGCCGTTCAGCTACGCGAAAGCCGGGCGTGACCTCGCGACGGGGCTGTTGTTCATACTGCTCGAGACGTACCAGGAGGGCAGCGGGAATGAGGACGCGGTGACGATGCTGTGGGCGACGACGGCGCTGGTGGGCATGGTGGACTGGTGGGTTGTAAGGAGCATGGGCGGGAAGGAGCTGCAGGGGAAGAGGTGGGTGCATTTGGGCAGTGGGATTGTTTGTGCTGGGTTTGCGGTTTGGAGGGCGATGTGCAAGTTCTGAGATTGGGTGGGGTGGTGATGGTGTTCGCGATGGCATCAGTGACGTCATGCGTGTTTGGGAGTGGCTGCTACGTGTTGGATATCCATCAATCGAATCGGATTATTGGTCTAAGAGAGCTTCTGATTGGGTTTCAAAGAAGATGTCAGAGCTAATCTGTGAAAGACGACTGCCCCGTCTCCGTACCGATGGCCTCCTTGGTCGTTCCTTCCTGAGTAAGGTATTCTGAGCTCGCTACTCACCTTCTTCCTCTCTCTCTTTGATTAGATAAGGCATTGAACCATCTCTGTCCTGGAAACTCGAAGTCTCCTTCAATCTACCCCCATTGCACAACGAATATTCCGAATATTTTACGTCGAGGTGTGTGTTCGCCAACACACTCTTTCTCTCCTTCACAATCACCTTTCAGCTTCAATTTTTCCCCCCCGCCCTCAGATCTCTTTCTTCTCCCTCTGACGACGCTCAGTTTCTCCATTGCCCTCCCGTTTATTGCATTTGATCATCGTCCCATTGGCCCCATTCCCTTTCCTCTTCCTTCACGTCGCGCGATCCACCCTCGCAGGCCCAACACAACACCATCGCAACCTTTTCGCCAAGAGTATTTGTATCGACTTCCCGATACTCAGGGTCAACACCTCAACGAGGCTACATTTTTGAACTTCGAGTTCTCAAAGCTTTTCCACCGTTCTTACTTCTTTTCCTGTCAACCATATCATGAGCCACTTGCTCGCTGCTTCCCTCTCACGTCGAAGCAGGTTTCTCCATTAGCTTACTGAAGTGTGTATCACAAATTATTCCCCGATCCTGCAGGAACTGACGTGCAAGGTCAACGCTCAGCAACCAACTCTAAGCAGTTCTTCCTACTCTCGAGTCATCCAACCTTCAACATGTCATCTGCGACTCCAGGTGGTGGCAGGCGCAACAGACGAGGACCGCCGAGCGTACCCGCAAACCCTTCGGCTGAGTCGCAAGTACCTGAAGAACAACGCGCCAACATCCAACTGCCAGAAGAAGTGAGCCTAGCCTCCCAGTGTTGGTATGACGACAAATACAACGATTCCTTTTACGAAGGCTTGCCGCCAAGGGGTGATGGCCACGTCTTTCGAGTCTGGGCGCTCAACGAAGCGGACGATTTTGTCACGCTTTCCCTGACAAACAGAGCTCGCGTGCTATACGATTCCTCGCACAAACTCAGAGGCAACTGCTTTTATACGGGAATCGACAGCTTCAGCGTCGGGCCAGTTTTCATGCGCGCCAAACCCCACTCAAAGAAGGCTCACAGGCAAGACATGAGCAACACTTTCCACTCTGGCAACTACAAAATTGCCGGGGGCACGAAAACGGCATTTCAAATCATCCCACCGATGAGTCTTCTCCGGTACCAAGCGTTGTCAGAAGTGAAAGCACACTGTGCCGGCATACAGAGGACCGACACTGGCGATTATCAGAAGATGGGCAAAGGAAGGGCCAATCAGATCAACCAATTCCATCAAAGGCAACTCGAAGCATTCCAAGCAGGCCAACCCTGTCCGACTTCATTCAACGATGACAGCCTGTTGTTGGACTACGCTTTCATCGAAGACATGAAGCCCGAGAGCTGGGCGTATTTTCGAATGATGATGCCAAAGATAGGCGGCAAGCAGGTTCCTAAGCAACTGGGCGAAGTTGTCTTTTCGTTTCTCGCACGTTACGGATACGATTTCGTCACACTGAACTTGGCCGTGTCAATGTGCATCGTTTGGGCGTGCTTAGTTACTGGGCCGGACCACGGAGCAGAATTGGCAGCATACCAGGGCTATGATCGAAACCGACGACTGTTGAAGAAGGTACCTGTGCCGTCGCTTGCGTCCTTCATTCTTTATGCGCCTCACTTCTTCCGTCTTCACGAGTATTACCGGCTTCCTGCATATATACACATCTTCAGATACGTACATGAAATGTACAGCCGGGATAGGAAGCTCACGAAAGACGTTTTCGACATCGACAAGAATGACATCAATGAAGAGCTGGTGAAGACTTTGGTCTGGGAGATGGCTCTCCAAGACGATGACTGGATCGAGATCGTTCCGCCTTCGTGGCCCGGCTCCCTACTACCCATGCCAACCTCTCATGGGCCTCGAGTCCCCCAAAGCGACGAGACTACTGCGGCCCTTCTACTCGACGACATCCACACCTTGGGATTCCCCAACTATCTCAACGAGTCCTGCCACGGCTTTCCTCCTGGACACGCAGACCACGGGAAACGGTGGATCTCCCGAGGAATTCACGTTCATCAAGACTGGGTACCAGACAGGGTTACTTCCGTCTCTGCATACAGAAACCTGCACCGGGACATCTCGCCCGACATCCCGCCGTCAGGCCTTGTGGTGTACCTTGGGGTAGGGTTCGTTACGCCTTATCTACCTGAAGCTGCCCTGGACCCAGCTAAAGATGATTGGGAACTGGAGCATCTCTGGACGGCGCCAAAGGCCACCATCAGACGTCCCTGGAAGGATTGCGTGAACGTCGAACATCTGAACAACGAGCTTCTGAAAGCCGCGAAGAATGATGCGCATCCAAAGGATCAAGTCGAGGAGTCCAACGCCAACCCCGCCGAAGACCGAGAGAATGGCAGCAATGCCGTCGAGCAGAGAGAGGAGGAGGGCGGAGGGGCTCAGGTCGCACAACCTGGCGGGCTGGAGCTACATCAGGGAGAGGGCAACCGAGACCCAGCAGCTGCTCAGAGCGAGAACAACCCAGCCGTCGACCACGCGCGAGAAATACATCTTATCAGAGACAGTGTCGAAGAGCAAGAACTCGGCGATCTCAACATCCTTCCAAGGCCGGCGCACCAAGCCGTTGCCGTCGAAGGTGTCATCAGCGACAAAGACCGACAGATCCTACGAAGACTGATCAAAGAGGACTTGGCGGACGACAAAAATGTACATCCACTATCTCGAATCTTCAGATACATCGACGTGGATAGCGAGAGCCTGTCGAAGAAGAGCGTGATCGACCACATCGACATGGGCCTCAAGCCGCTCAACGAGGAGCTAGAGAAGATCAACGAGTATGGCAGAGGGGGAAAGCAAGAGGAGAACGGGTTCGTGGAGCAGGTCCTCAAGCCATGCTACGAGCTCCTCGGTCTCAAGTGGCCGGGGACGCTGTTCGTCGCCATCGATGAGCTCGGCAAGCTCGACGAGTCGCTCGTATGCGCGATCATCAAGCTACGGGCGATCTACGAAAGTGCGCCACTCAATCTTGTCCAACTCGGCCACGCTACCGAGAAGCTCCAGTGTTCGAAAGCGTTCCTCTACATATGGCGATTCTGTCTCCTGCAGGACCGACTCAAGGGAATTGATTTTGCCTCGCAGGAGCGGGAGAAGTGGTGGACAAAAGTATTTGGGAAGCCCTACGCAGATGAATGAAGATGAATTCAGGTCGGAGGACTTCTTCTAGTTTGAGAGAGAGGACAGCAGGATTGAGATGTGCTTCTTTGAGACTCGACATCGTGGGCTTGACGCATGTAGGATTGGCGGACAAGGGGTTGAGAACTTCGTGTTTAAATAGATACCCTTATGTTTGAATGCTAGCATCTTTGTATTTGAAAACCTGCTTTTCAAACACTTTCCGTGAAAGCCGATTGCCCGCTTTGTGGGCCTGAACTGATTCCCGTCACCAACGACCGCCCTTTGCTCCTCCCCGCGCTTCCTGGAGAAATTTCTTGCCCACGACCATTCTCAGCCGGCAACCTTCCCTGATCTCACCCTCGAGTCTCACACTTCGCAACACACCTCTGCCTCGATTTTTCTTTCTTGCTTGCTTCACCGTACAAGACGGGGCCATCTTCTGTCTACTTCTGCAGTCAGCCAGGCTTCTGCCTTGGAACTGTCTCTCCTACCTCGCTCCTGCCCCTCGAGAAAGACCAGGCGATCACCCTCTCACCTTGGCTTCGAAATTTTCGCTCGCCCCTCTCGCCATCTTACCTTCTACCAACCCTTCCTGACCTTTTCGCTCCTCGCAAATTTTGCGACCGGCGTCTTTCACCGCACGCAATCGCCACTCGCGAGACCGGCGGCGGCTTCCTTTTCACCTTACTTCGCCTCGTTCGTCTCTTCGCCAAGTACCACACCGTCACCTTCTCGCCACAGATCCCGAGTCGCAGGAGTTTTGCTCGAGTCTCACCTTGCGTCTCGAACTGACTGCGTGCGTCCCCCAAAAATCTCATTCGCCTCCTTCAGCGGTTTGCGTCTCTTCTGCTTCGATTAAGTCGACGTCTCCGAATCTTCGCGCGCTCGCCTCGTGAACTACGCCCCCCTCCAGACCTATTTCGATCACTCATAGCTGCTTCCATTCTCTTGCTTTCAAGGAGGTGTGTCGCGTGAATCTTGGATTTATGGCTCTTGTTTGCTGACCCGTTGAAAACAGCTTTACAGAGTCGCCTTGCAAGCAGAACAGCGGCAAACAGATTTGCGTTCACCCACGGCACGTCCAGCACAATGAATGACGATGAAGCAACCAGCCCAGCCAACGGCAGAAGCCATAAGCGCCGGAAAGTGGCTACAGAGATGCCCCGGATGGTAGAGCTTACCAGTACACGGTGGATGCACAAGCAGAACGCCAGAATCTACAACCGCATACCCACGTCGTCGGGGGAAAACGTTTCTCAGGTTCACATTCTCAACACCAACAAACAATTCTCGAGTGTTCAGCTTCTCAACAGAGGATGTCGACGATATTTGCTAAAAGACCCCGAAGATCCTTTGACACCCAAGTCATATTACGTTGGCATTGATGGTGCAGACTTCCACCCAATGTTCATTCAAGGGTGTGGAAATCAGCCCAATGTCATGGGAAATCACAACCGCGGCGCGAGCTTTGTACTCGGCAAGGTCAAAAAGTCAAGAAACCTTTTGATCCCCCCCTGCGACATGCTCCGCTCCGGACAGATGACTTTCTTGAAACGTCAGACGCGCAGCAATGATCCTGTCCCCCGGGTAGGATATGATTCACAAGAGTCTTTATCGGAAAAGCTACGGGAATACAAAACACAACAGACGATGAACTTCTGCAACGGGTTTGCTTGCTCAGTGTTGGTTCAGGATTCGGACTTGAAGCTCGACTACAATGCGCTCCCGCACACGGCTCCCGAGAGCTGGGCATTATTTCGTATGAAAATGCCCAAAATAGCCGGAAAAGTCGTGCCACCGGCCCTTCTGAATGAGCTCACCTCTTTCCTCGCCAAATATCCTAAAGACATGGTGGATTTGACGTTTTCTCTGTCTATGGCAATCCTCTGGTGTCGCCTCGCTTCGGCTCCAGGGCACCAACCGGAACTATGCGTCATCCAGCCTAACTCGTTTCTCAGCGAAGGCTTAGCTAGCCATTTGGTTCCTCTGCCAAGCCTTGCAGTCTTCCTACTCTATTCCAGTCACTTCTTTCGCTTTCACGAACAGCACGGTCTTGCAGCTTACGGCCACATTTTCAGATATGTGACAGCTATGTACAGCAACGACGTGAAACTCAACTCGGTGTTTTGGATTAACAACAATCATATTGATGAGGAGAAGGTGACCCAGCTTGTGGCCTTGATAAAGCTCGAAGAAGGCGACTGGATGGAGGTTGTTCCCCCCTCTTGGGAGGGATCAAGACTCACTATGCCGCGTAACAGTGGATGTCGAGTCACAAGATCAGAAGCGACCACTGCCTGGCTGATGCTTCCAGACATTCACACCATTGGCCTTCCATTCTACGGAAATGAAATGAGGGATGGCCTGGGTGATGTTTACCGTCGAGTTTTCGTCCACAACAGTTGGATGACACCTGCGATTCTCGCAGGTAATTATCTCATCCACGAAGCAAGAGATGACACCTACTTCCGCGCCAAAGACATTGAGCTTCCCATGTTCTCTGAAAGAACAAGGCTTTGGTCTGCACCGAGTACAGCTGTTCGGGGTCTGTGGCGTGAGACCGTTTCACCGGTTGATGGTCGGCTAGGGCAATCACCAACCAATTTCAGCACCCCTGATGGAATTCTCGGCTTGCCCGAGCCGCGTCAATCGGCTATACCAGACGCTTCAGGCATTCTATCTCCTGTCAAGAAGTTCGCACAAAAGCTCGTAGTCCAGTTCCGGCTGGCTCAAGAGGAGGGCTTTATTTCGCCCGAGTTACAACTGGGAGACAGCGGACTCACTTGGGATGGCATGCAGGAGCACCTCAAGTCCACGGAGAAATTACCTGATGGCATTGGTATCACTGAAATGGTCACCAAAGACGCCACTCGGCAGGCCGATCTGTTCAGTGGCAAGGAGTGCACCATTCTGCGAAGATTGCTCAACGACATGAATAACGAGGCAAATCTCCCGAGCTGCATCCGCCCATTCAAGCAAGCCATTGATCCATTCGCAGAAGACTACAGCAAGTCAGAAATTGTGCCTCTCATGGAAGAAATGGGAAAGCCGGTGGTTATCCAAATGAACCAAATTGCCGCCTACATCGATCAACATGACAAGGAGGAAGATGCCTTCGCAAAGCACATCATCAAGTCCTGCTGTTTCCTTCTTGGCATTGAATACCCGGGCAGGCCTGCAGAGGGTCACCGAGCGATCTTTCAAGTCGACAGCGAGGTGGCAATGGCTGTTGGGGACATCATGCACGAAAATATGTCACCAATTTCTGGGAACCTCCCAAATGCTATCCGGCAGTTGAAGCATTCAAGCAAATTTATGCCAGTGTGGCGTTTTCTCATGTTTAGAGATAGGTTGATGGGCGAAAACTTTGACGAGACGCGTGAGAGCGTATGGGAGATGGCATTCGGAGAGCCATACAATCGCCTTCAATCAGTTGAATCAAGATGGAGGGGTTCGGAACCCCCAGAGAATAACTCAGAGGAGTCAGGAAGTCATCGGTGGGGGAATTGGAGTCCTGAACCAGTCAATTGGGCTGCTATTGGATATGATCGCTGGTGAGGTGGGATCTCGGTAATATCCGCTGTGTAAGAACACAGAAACCAACGGAAATGCGTTTAGTCAAGGACAAGGACATGGTACACTACAGATTGAATCAAACTTGCAAGCATGTCTCAACCTATTACTGGGCTTTCCCATGATGGATGCGAATGGGGGAATAGGTAGGTTCTCCAAATGAAAAGACGGCTCGTATATCTGGAAATACTTTCGCAACTGGAAGGCTGGATGGCCTCAAATAGGGCCGAGAACGATTTGAATAAGTGATGAAACAAATGTGTTGGCGAGAAGGGGAAGGAAACCAATTGTACCACAATAGCAAGCTTAGCAAGTCTTTGCGAGAACAAAGGAAATCTTTCTCTGAGGATGAAAGTAGTATCAGTCAACTGCCTCTTTCTCCATCGTCAAAGCAAGATGCGTGACGAGACAGGAGATACTTAGGCAGCACGCAAAGCTCATTTAGATAACCACAGCAACGGAAGGACGGTCCGTCTACCCCAGGAAACATTTGAGTTGTCATCAAACCTTCAAGTGCAAGACAACCACTCCTGTTTGACGGAGACACCCACAAATGCGGGCGGATAACGGCAACGAACCGTCAGCTCAAGGCTGAGAAATGCCGTCTGCGCATCGTGATTGGCCTGATCGGAAACGCCCCGCGGCATCTGATGTCGCGAAAACTCAAGTCTCAGCATGGTGGTGCTCGAATCGGAACAAGCTTGAATTTTGACGCAAACCTGGATCATCTGTCACGTTCGTCTGAGCGTCGTGTCAATTCTGCCCGCCGGTACTTAAGGGCGTGTCCCCACAGATCTGGCCTTGACACATGCCGTCGATCATATTGATCTTAGTCTCTCGAGATCGTCCGAAGCCGAATACGAGATTCGACAAGCACGCTAAATGAGTTCCTGTTTCTGTCGGTCCAGAACGACGCAAGTGATTCATGCCTCGAACCGGTATCCAGAAGGTGAAAACGGGTTGCATAACATGCAAGTAAGTCGCCTTCGTACTCGGCACCGCATCCTAGGACAACGTCTAAACTCTATCTTATCAGAATACGGAGAATAAAATGCGACGAGAGCCGCCCTTTCTGTAACCGGTGCTTGACGACAGGCCGGAAATGTGATGGCTGCACGTCGCCTCCCAAAGGGACGTACTCTTGGGATGAGCTCCTACAAGGAAACATCTCGGATGTTGCCTTGGGACAGTCGGCACTGACAAATGGTACGACGGCTGAGAAACGTGCCATATCGTTCTTTCAACGTGTAGCCGCACCGGCCCTTGGAGGATCACTGAATAAGCACTTCTGGATCACCATCGTTCCCCAGGTTGCGAACCAAGAACCCGTGGCGAAGCACGCCATGATGGCCGTTAGCTCATTATACGAGACTTTTACCAAGCGCTCTCGTCTCGACATTGCCTGTGGTGCAGACGATCAGAGTAGCGCATTCGCTGTGTGGCATTACAATGAGGCTATCAGACTGTTACGAACAACGACAGACCGGGCTTTGATACTGTTCGTCTGTGTCCTGTTCATCTGCGTCGAGCTGCTTCGGAAGAACTCCAAAGATGCGGTTGAACATTGCCGACATGGGATAAATGTCCTCAACGAAGTTCGCAGCGAATCGGATTTCATAAAGAACCACGTCCAGCCGGCAATACGGAATTTGAGCATTGTCCCATATCTATACGGCGCCGATCCCCATTCCTTCCCAACCCTAGGCAAGCCCGCGCCGGCCACGAAATACAATTTTCGCAACATCTCAGAAGCACATCAATCGCTGGTCTGTGTCCTGGTCCGGGTCGTACGATTCGCGCGGTGTTTGACTGAACCACGTCTGGAGCCCGGGCGAAACGGTCCCGATCCAGGAACAGAGTGGACCCAGCAGGACATTGTAGAGGATATGGACGCTTGGTTAGAAGGGCTTCGTCACTTCACGGGATACATCTATGTCCCGGCAGGCCCCGAAGAGAGGGATATCTGCAGGTTATTGGAGATGCGGTGGACGGTTGGCAAGGTCATGTTGCTAACCTGTCGGTCCAATAACGAACGCGCCTACGACGAACACATCGAAAAGTTCCGAACGATAGTCGAACTTGCGATCCCCGCAGCGGCGGCAGCAACAGCCTCATCTGGAAAGCGAAAGCCAGGGTATTGTACCGAGAGACACCCGCTTGAACTGGGGTTCACTTCCTTGCTCGCCTTCGTGGTCATGAAGTGTCGCATGTTCGAGCTGAGGCTGGCGGCATGGAGGCTCATGAACAAATTGCATCGTCCTAACGATAACATATGGAGCGAGGATGTGACAATCGTGCTGGGGAGGAGAATCATGGAGTTGGAACACCACGTCAACTTGGATGATATGAAGCTCGATGACGAAGATGATATCAGCGAGATTGGGGAGGGCGATCCCGCATTGGTTCAAAAAGAACGAATCGTGAACTTCAGCGCCAATTTTGCGAACACCGAATTCCCTAGGCGGAATGTGCGATTCAACTTTCTTTTAAAAGAAGGCCAGAGCAAAGAGTACGTCGTGGAGGATGATTGGATTTCGGTCAAGTCCCGACCGAAGACACAACTTCTGGAGGAAGAGTCAGAGTGGACTTGGAAGGGACACTGTTGATTGCTTACGTCGCATGGGCAGAGGACTAGTTACAGTCGGCCTTATGGCCCTTTTGTTCCCATCACTATCATTCTTGTTGTTGATACTACTAGCATATCAGCTGCTTTTTAGTTGGGCTGAATATCCGCTCAGCATCCGCCCGGACTGCGGAACTTTTGTTGATGTCCGTAGTTATGTCATCCTATCAACATCACTGCTCACAGCGCTAGCTTCATGACACCCTTGAATATGAAACTGTCAAAGTAATGTGAAAGGAATGCTTCTTTGGCGGGGATATGACTCTCTTCGTTTTCGGACAGAATTTCACTAGCACTCGTGTCGGACGCGTTTTAGCCTTACTTGTCTAAACCGCGGCGTCTCCAAGGCATTATCATATCATTCAAACTCCTTTTACGGCTAAGGAGAGGTTTGCCGTGATCTTTTCTTCCTCTTCTTTTTTCTATGCTTTTCTATCTTCTTCTTTTTCTTGGGATTTTCTATCGTCTCCTTTTTCTTTTCTTTCCTCTTTTCTGCCTCGTCCAATCATTCAACTACTCCCAACATTAGCTGGACACTTCAGTTGTGAGATCCATAGTATGTCCTGCATCATCGTATGGAACCTCGCTAGAAAGCATCATCTTTTCGAACCGCTGGACTAAGCTCTGGCCTCGCGCAGCCTCGATGTCGGTCAAAGCTAGATCGAGATCAATAACCCAGGTTGCTTCATTATTTCCATTCAACTTTAACCGAGCCTCTTCGTGTGGCATCTCCAGCCGTCTTAACTCGAGCAATACGCGATTTGCTTCTGCTGGCTTCAAAGTTCCGTTTTGAAGCGCCATACCCACTACCGCCCGGGATATTGCACCGGATGTGGAGAACGACACGCAAAGGTCGGTAAGCCCTGCCAGACATAGGTCTAAATAGAAGCGCCACTGTCTTTCAGGTCGCTCATGTTGGATGTTTGACTGAGTCGCCTCTTGCATCATGGCGTTTGCTACGTATATCACGGCAGTTTGCCATAAGCCGGAGAATCTGGCTTTCTTGTAGCGAAGCCGGAATAGGAGACAAAGTCGTTTGAGTTGATTTACTGAAGCAGCATACACCGCTTTTGGGGTAGCGTGCTGGCTAGAAAACAAATTGAGTCGAAGATTACCAGCGGGCGGTGTCAAGAATGGTCGGAAAAGGTCCGTCACAATCGCATGGAAGTAGATGCTAGGTTTGTCAGCAAGTGATTACTGATGTTGGCTGGGTAGACCTACTGCATCATCATAACTTCGTGGGTGCTGTCCCGATTCCTCACAAGATGAGGAGGCAAGTTGTTGGCCCATTGAAGAAGTCTGAGATAGATACCCTCCGCAAAGTCCAGCTCGCGTTGTCCTCTTGGTCCTTGTTTCTTCGTGCCATAATAACCACACAGCATATTTTGGCAGACGGTCCATAAAATACTGGAGGCGTCGAATACCTCTAGCGGGTGGGCGGTATTTTTGGGGATGCCCTCGAGCGGTCCATCCGCCAGCAGTTCCAGTGGTTTTGGAAGCAAGGGGGGCGTTCCAATTTCGCATGTGTGATAATGTAAAGACAACAGCCTATTCAGATCCGTTATTGTCAGCAAATGGTTCATAATGACCAGGTACAGGACTAGGGCTTACTAACGAGACCCAGTTGAATACCCCCCAAGCCGTGTATAATGCGGCCCGCGTCCAAATATCATGGCCTTGCAACCATTGCATGGCCGAATCCTTCTCTTCCTTGACGTCGAACAACCCCATTAACCTTCCAAGCTCAACGCCCCTTCGCGTGAACTGAAGACTCAAATTGTTCTTTCCGTATATGACGGCGCTAATACCAAGTAGCTGCAACCCAGAAATTGTTGTTAATATGTTCTATAATTATTAGCTAGTGAGGTCTTTTTAGGCTTATATAAAGAGTCTGAGAGACCACTCTGCTAAGTTAAGGCTGATAGGCATATAGGATTTCTAGCCGATATAAGTATTTAACTAAAATCTATATCTAAGAATACAGACTAAATACTCACGCATACCCAACAAAGCAAGGAGTTAACGAGAAAAGATAAACAAAAGTAAGTCCTCTTTCCTATAAGATTATCCAGAAATAGATCCTAATAAGCTTTAAGCTATCTATAGATATCTATATAAGTATATACCTATATAGTCTATAAATATAGAGGGGTATTTAGGTAAGTATTAAGTAAGTATAAGTAATAAGTAAAGCTTTCTTATTTAAGTATTAAGTATATAAGTAAAGTAAAAACTATAATTTAAGTTTTAAGTAATAATCTATTTTATAAATATAATATATTAAAAGAAGTTTAGAGAGGAGTTAAAGTTTAAATTAAAATATTAAAACTATATAGGAAATAAATTATATTATTATAGTATATTACTAATTTCTAATAATAGGAAATTACTATAATCTATTTCTTTTATAATCTTTTAGCTACTTAATTACTTTCTTATTCTCTAACTACTTCTCTAATTTAATAATAGTAAGAAGCTTTTAAAAGCCTATAAACTTTATTATAATACTTATAAACTAAATAATAATATCTAAAAAGCTTAATTTAGCTTATCTATAAAGTTTAAAACTTAGTTAGATAGTTTAATAAGTTTTATATTTAAAAACTCTAATTCTATTAAGTCTTAAGTATTATTATTATTACTTAAAATATTAATAATATCTTAAGTATACTTAATAATAAGTCTATAAATAATAAAGTAAGAATCCTTAATATTAAGAACCTTATATTAGAATATTTAATAGATTAATATATTTTAGTCTTTATTTAGTTTATAGAATATAAAGTTTTTTAAAATAAAAAGCTTTAGATAAGAGAATAAAAGCTAATCTTAATACTTATTATAAATTATAAAAAAGAGTTAATAGAAAATTATCTTAAGTTTTATATTAAAATATATATAGTAATAGATATATTAGCTAAAGCTAAATATTTATTTAAGAGGGATAAAACTTAAAATAATATAAAAATAGTTATAAGCTATATTATAGAGATTATAATATTTTATCTCTTATTTTAATATTTTCTAGAAGTCTTAGATTAATTACTTAGTAGAATAACTTTATATAGATTTAGTTATACTTCTAAAAAAAAGAATAGTATAATATTTATACTTCTTTAAGAAATTATAAATAATATTATTTACTTTTTAAGATAAAATATCTATTTATTTCTAAAAACCTATATTAATATAATAATTATAAAGGAATTATTATATTAATTATTATAATAAATTATTATAAATATAATTATTATAATAATATTAGAAGTATAATAATATACCTATTTCTTAAAACTTTAAAGCATTAAAGCTATTAGACTATAAATAGATCTATAAGCTTTATCTAAATTAGTCTTAAAATTCTATAAAACCTTTTTATAGTATTTCTTAATATAGATTTAAGTGAACTTTACTCTAACTATATCTTTTAATAAACTAAAATAAACTTTATAAATACTATAGAATCTTAGATTATTATTTACTAAATTTAGTATTAATATAAAAGAGAAGAATAAAGAGGATATATAAAGAAATTACTACTACTCTTATAATAATTAGTACTTCTTTAGTTTTATTATTACTACTTATACTACTTCTAAAAAAGCTAATACTTAAAGTAAATTCTTATTATTATTAAGCTTTTTAATAGCTTCTAAGTATTTTATTAAATAATTATTATAAATCTTTATAAGAGTAATTATATAAGTAATATTAATAGATTAATCTTAACTTAAAATATATATAATAATAAGAAAATATATAGAGATATTAAGAATAACCTAAATTTAGCGCTATTTAGGATTATTTAGCCTAAATAAGTAATTATTAATATAATTTATAAACTAAGCTTAAATTAAAGCTTAAAGTTTAAAAGTATAGATTAATATTAATATAGTTAAGTTTTAATATATTTTTATATTAATAATTAGATATTTAGGGCGCTTTTTAAGGTCCTTATCTTTATTATTCTTCTAAAGGTCTAAAAACTATATAGATTATATTAAACTAACTTTAATCTTAAGTATAAAGTAGTAAATCTAAAAGAGGATAAATAATAATAAAAGTAGAAAGTAAAAAATAAAGTAGTTTACTTTAGTAATTACTACTATAAGTATTAAAATACCTCTTATTTTAATTTAGCTTTCTAAGTCTAATATCTTATTTAGATATTAATTAGTAGAAGTCTTATTATCTAACTAATCTTTAAAATTATTATTTTATAAAGTAGAAGTAGCTTACTATCTTATTAAGGTCTATTATAATAGTATAATATCCTTAATAACTTATTTATTATTAATATATAATATATATTATATAAGATTACCTATTATAAATATATAAATAACTTTAAAGTAGTTATATAGTTCTTAAACTATAAAGTTAATAATATAAGTAAAGTATTAAATATAAGTAACTATTAGTAGTATTTTATTAAATATAAACCTATAAAACTTAGATAAGATCTTAAGTTTAAAATTAGAAATATTATCTATAGAAATATAGTTAAATTTAAGTATATTCTTTATTAAGAGCTTTTAGAGAGTATTAATAATTATACTAGCTATATTCTCTATAGTATAGTTTTTTATAATACTAAGTATACTAAGAAAAATATAATAATATTTCTAATCCTTATCTATAAAGTAAGCTATAATACTAAGTAATATATACTTCTAACCTAATATTATCTATATATTAATTATTAGAGATACTTTTAAACTAAAAATAATCTTATTAAAAACCTTTATCTAAATAGCTAAAGCCTCAGCTTTAAGATTTTTAGCTATTATTATAGAGGATAATAATATCTATCCTTAGTTTATAAAGCTAGTAAAGAACTTAAAAGTTAACTTTAAAATAAAGTTAAAAGATATATTACTATTAATAAAATAATAGAGAAATGCTTTATTTAATTAGGTAGATTTATCTCCTTTTCTAATAAGCTAAACAGTAAAATATAGTTATTATAATAATTATTATAAT